GGTGGGCTTTTTGTTCAATATTTCCACCACCTAGGTGAGCGAGTCTGCGCCTAGCGAGAGCAACATATTCACAAAGGATGTGTTCTGGCGTTTCGGCGTCTGAAAGCTTCATTTTACTGAGGTGATAACACAGGGAACCATGTCCCGTGAAGTACCCAGTGTGAGTTCGAAGGTCCTCCCTGCCTAGATATATGAGCTTTTTTGAAGCTTCTTGTGATGGGCAGTCGCGTGCATGCGAAGAAGGCTATCATTGCCTTGTTTACGGTTGCATCCAAATGTACATTCCAGTTGAGTGTCTTATCCAGCCACACCCCCAGGTATTTTGCTTCATTTGAGAGCCCTATTCTAGTGCCGCCCAGAGTAAATTCTGTCATGGATAACTTTTTCCTCTGGGTAAACGGAACCAGAATAGATTTAGTAGGTTTATGATAAACTCATTGTACGTATTCAAGCCGGTAATGTTTAACAGAATATTTGGTTCTGCGATTTTTTTAGTTTTCGAAAAAAAAACACCGGAAAAGAATATAATCAGAATCTTAATTACCAACACACAAAGTTTTGTTCGAAGTCAGCTGTCAAGCCAAAATCGAACCCATATCCTACGGCGTGGTAGTATGCACCTCAAACCATTCAACCATGGCGGCAGCTAAATCAACTAGTGGACATATATAAAAGACTCAAGGTACATATAGCTCCGACATTTGGGATCATTTTGATGGTAACATTTCTGATGTTTCCTCTTTTGCTAGTTCAGCCATTTTCCACTGTCCTTTAATCCTCTGTGCTCCAATTACCTATTGTAGTGGTTAAAGTTAAGCTCATTTATCGTATTACGCCTATCTAGGTACTCTCAGGCTTGTATTTATCACTATCGAGAGCAATTTGGCTGCCTCTAGATATGAAAAATGTTACTACACTGGTAGAATGTAAACTGTATCGAAACAATGATTTCAAAATCATAAATCATAATCTGAAAAGTGCTTTCTTATCAATACAAAAAAAAAAAAAATAATTGAGTTTTAAGTCAAAAAATATCAGGGGACATTGATTCAAAAGAGTTTGCGTTGTCATACATAGCACGCTACTAGGAAATAGCTGATCTTCCTCATCTAATAAACATCATCATCGTCTTTAACACTAATAACTTATGTATCTTAACGAAATATGCACTTTGCAATTTAAACTAAAGTAATATTTTTCTCTATGCATACATTTCTTACTCATTCGTCATTGGCCTGTTTACCAGGCAATGTCCATGTGACATTCTTCTCTTTGTTGCCACCATTATTGGCATTCGCATTTGCATTTGCATTGAAGTTTCCATAAATACGATTTGCCGATTTCCCGTAGTTTCGACGAAATTTAAAATTTGCAAACACATCACGTTTAGCGCCAGCTTCGTCCTCCTCTTCCGCCGCTGCTGTCCCTAAATCCAAATTGCGTTGCAAACCAACACCAACCCCTTCGGCGGCATCTGGTGTTTTGCGAAAATTATAAATACCTTTGCGCTGCTTCAGTTGTTGCTGCTTTTCAGGTGTGCGCGGCGGACGTTTTGGACTAGCGCTGCCATCTTTAGCGCCCGCTGCTACTTGCCTCTGCAAAGGCTTGGGATCGTGCTGCAGCGATTGAAAAAGATTGTCGTCCGCATCGAAATACCATGGTCGGCTGAAGTGATAGTCGGCATTGTAATAATGCCCGAAGATTGGCTCCTCGGCACAAATACTAAATGCATGATACGCGTGTGATATTAATTCAGGAAATTTATTAATCCAATAATTTGTGAAATCATGCGGAATACAACCGAGCTTTTGTTGCACCTCGGGCGTGAGTTCGTGGTAATGATGTTTCTGGCGGAGATAAGGTGAGAGAAAAAGAGAAATTTGAGTGAGCTTAAATTAAAACTGTTGCCGCCATTCAACTCACCTTATTGCGCAGTGCGCGCAGTAAATCGCGCNGGAGAGAAAAAGAGAAATTTGCGTGAGCTTAAATTAAAACTGTTGCCGCCATTCAACTCACCTTATTGCGCAGCGCGCGCAGTAAATCGCGCACACTAGCGCCCATATAACCACGATATTTGCGCAGATCCTCCGTTATGAGTGGATCGACATGCGCATTCCAGTCGTCGCGCACTATGCAACGACCATTCTTCTCTAGCGACTTTAGCGGCTCTACATGGAATTGCAATTTCTCAACGCGATCGCTGACGTCCTGTAGAAATGCCAATATCTTCTGATTATTCCAAAAGACAGGATGGGCGCTTATGCAGCGCGCCAGTGGACGACATTGCGCGTCTTTATGTATCATATCTGCGATAAGCTGTTCAGCAAGAATCTGTTGTAATGTAGAGGTTATTAGTACAATATACGAAAAATATTTGCAGTCTTTCGCTTGCGTTACTTACGAATTTGCTCGCCTCTTCAGGCATGTTCTCATCATCGTCTGTATCCACCTTTAATTTCGACAAATTGTAGTCGTGCGCCAGTATGTTGTGCTGTCGTTTAAGCGCATCGCCAAACGCATGATGACCACCCGTAAGCACATAGTAGTAGACGCAACCAAGTGAAAAAATATCTACAGCGGTTGTCTGTAATGCAACCACAAGGCAAATATGTAATCATATCTTCTTTGGGCATTAACGCCCCAACTGCCTACTCACCGTACGCAGTCCGCGCATCATTTCGGGCGCAATCCATCCATCTGTACCGGTAACACCGGAACGGCGCGAAAAGCTTGTCTTGCCAAAATTCAACTTTTTGCATAAGCCGAAATCGGATATCATAACACGTACGGTGCCGCTAATATCGGGCAGTGAAAGCAACACGTTTTGAGGTTTGATGTCGCGATGCACTGCAAGCAAAGCAAAAATACAAGCATTAGTAATCAATGTTGTTTTTTTTTTCTTCTACATATTCATCTTTACATGTCTGTCTTATACGGCAACTCACCGATATGCAATGAATGCAAGTGACTCAGGCCTGCTGCTGCTTGGCGCAAAACCTCCCAAACGTTGATTTGGGTGCGCAGTTCTTTGCTGCGCTCGCCCTCCGTGTAATCTTGCAACGTAGCGGCGCACAGCTCCACTGCTATGTAACGAAACTGGCGATCCTGTTCGGTGCAGAAATACCGCACCACATTCTCGTGCGCATCGCTTTCGCGCAGTAATGCAACCTCCCGATCGGCGAATGTGAAACATTCGGGCAGCAGCCGTTTCACCGCCACAGAGCGCTCTTCAAATGTGCCTCGAAACACAAAGGTGCCCTCACAACCCTTTCCCAGCACTTCACTGGAGTTGAAGGAAATTTTGCCTACGCGAATATTTCCATCGCCCAGATCGATGAGGTCCAATGCATTTATGTTGCTGCTGCCGCCGCTACTCTTGTTGGAGGAAGAGTACGTTTTGGAACCATTTTCACTTTGGTTTTTCAACTCACGCATCGTGCTGCACATGTACCAGAACATGGCGACCATAGCCAACACCAAAACAATTAGTATCTGATGCACTTTACCGCTCGGATGTTCCATGAACCAGTCGTTGAAGAACTTTTGTATTTTATTAGTATTCGCAATGATAACTTTTTTTGTCTTATTGAAGGCATTAGTTGACTCTATTTTTAATTCAATTACTGGCTCAGTTTGTACACCGATTTCTGCAGAGTTCTTTTCGTTACTCGAACCTGTGATAATACTGTAACCATTTGAATCCACAGTGCCCACATCGGGGAAGTGGTTTATGGTGGCGAGGCCATTACTGGTTTCCTCTTTCGAAGGTGAGGGTGATATTTGCAAATTGCCATCAGTAGGCATATTGTAGTGGCCGAGTACAATGCCAGCATTCTTGCGTATAACATCATTGATGTAAATCATTTTGGGATTTGATTCTTCGTTAGCATAATTGGGACCATCCAAAAGTTTTATCGGGAGACTGGCTGAGATGCGTGGTGTGTCTTCGTCTACCAGCGAGGGCAGCGCATAAAGGCCATGACGATGCTCGCCCACATACAGCGATTGGCTAAGAATGTGTAAGAACGTGATTTTTAAGCAGATTTGAAGTAAATACTCTATTTTCAACCACCTACAATAACTTGACGGTATTCACATTGCCGGTCTTGGACTCCTCCAATATGGATTCAAATGCCTCGTCGGAGACCGTGGTGAAAGGCACACTAAGTAGACCCTCAGCACCGAGCAGAAATACAGCGACCACTGGACTTGTTAGATCGCGTCGCCACAAAAACTTGCCATTCTTGCGATCCAAAGTGACTATATTACCATTGGATGTGGTGGTTAAGTGCAGATATTCTAGTAAAAATAAAAAATAAAAAAATTTGTCTTTTTGTTTTTCTTTTTTTTTTGCTATCACCCAACTCACCATACTCCTTCGATATATCCGGCGTCATAGTGTGCGCACTGTAATCATAGAAAGTGATATTCCAAGGCTTGGCATTCTTTCCCTTCGCCAAGCTGTCGTACATCATCACAGTGTACTGGGTGCGCCCCAAGTAAATCGACTGCGAAGTGCCACGCTTCGCCTTATTCTCATTTTCCGTGGGTTTTTGTGTGGCATCTGCTTCGGTGGCGCCAGGTCCAAAGCCCATAACTTTCTTACGGGTACCCGACTTTGGATCGACCATGAACCAAGTATCGCTCTTTTTGCCCGAATACAAAATGCCGTCGGATGAGCGGCATGGCGCGCTGGCTACAAGCTGAGGTATGGTGTAGGGCAATTTCTTTAAGTTACCCATGTCGCTAAGTTGATAAATGCTGCCATCTCGAGGATCTGGTAAATATTGTGGCGCTTGTACATTTTCTTCTTGTTCAGCGCGTATCGGTGGATCTGTGTGGAGAGGATTTCTATGAATTATTTTGGAACAATTAAAATAATTTCAAATTTGTTCAAAAATATGCTAAATCTGTATGAGTATTGGTTGTTATAATAACATAAAAACTCCTAAAACAATTTTGGGTAATGTTGCTGAAATGACAGTCCATGGCTAGATATAAATCTGGATCATTCTGCTAACGTAGACCCGCTGAAGTTGAAATGGATCGATTTGAGTTGTCTGAAAATCTTTGGGAAACGTATGCATGGGACTTTTTTTTTCTACTATTTATTTCGAACATAAAACTATCTCAATCGGCCTGGCCTACGACATAACGGAAAGACGTGCCCTAAAGAAAATAAAAAATTTGGCAAGAAAAAATACATGTGTAAAGTTAGTTTCGGCCCGAAAAACAGATATTTAGACCATAGTGGCATGTGAAAAATGTTACAGAATTTTCTTTATGAAACGGAACAGAAATTTCGTGGAGTTCATGTTAACCACTTCATATGACTTTTTTAAAGCGTTCCCACAACAGTCGGGTCAACGTAACCGGAACGACCCAGATTTATACCTGGCCAAGGACTCCAGCAACACTCCCAAAAAATTCTTTGGGGAATTTGTATGCTGCTACAACAACCACCACTTTCTTTAAAGATTCGTAAAGAAATCCTTACCGAATTCGGAACACACTTCTCTTAAAGATTGTGGGAATTTTAGTTTGCAGGGATACTATATAAAACATGCTGTTTGTATGTAGCTAAAAACTATAATACTCTTTGGAAAGTCAGACTCCTCATTGTTTCGGTAAGTTAATAGCAAATACCGTAGAACAATGTGACTGTATGTATTTTCCTCCTTTGTTTTAAATGATAACTAACAAAAATAAATTTACATAGCTGCTTTTGAGACAGCAAATGGCAGAGTTAATGACGTTAAGAGGCGTTCAGAAACTATTAAAAAATAAAAATACAAAATAAAAAAAAGAAAACAAAAAAAAAATAAAATAAAAAAAATAAATAAATATTTATATACATATCGATGGTCCTCAAGAATAACGACACAATTCAAAATTAAGAAAATTAAAAACCCTTACATCTATTAAGTGTCCCATGTATTTAATACTTGCCCAATCCGGACTAATGTAAGCATAAAGCACTAATTAAGTTAGTGGTACGGTTTTGACATGAACTGGACACGGATTAGAGACATGTACCGTTATTGCAGAGGACCATCGATATGTAGTTATTATCCATAGATATTCATATATATTTACATCGCTTGGTAAAGCTGCTCATAAAGGTATTTTTGCATACATACGTACATGCGCACTTATGTACATACATACATATGTATGGACTCGATATGAATGTGTGATCAAAGTTCCATACAATTTATTGCAAACAAACTCTTTAATTTTCCGAATGATTTCTAAAGCTCTGATTGCCAATAAACTATCTTTAGATAGTATACGCAATATATGTATATGTTTACATGCAAAGGTATGTACATACATACATACGCACATAAATACATTAATACAAGTAAGTATACAAAAATTAGTCACACCAGAGTGATGAGCATAGAAGTTCAGGTTCAACAAAATTTGATAGCCAGAAAAATACATGAGCCCAGAATTTGCAATTAGAGCAAAAACATGTGCGGGCTTTGCCACGCAGTTAGCTACAGCTTCAGCAGTATGCGATGTACTTACATATGTATATACAACTTTATGTCAGTGCCATATTTAATCATACATATACATATATGTACAGATATACATACTTATAGGCACTTATTTTTTGTTGCGATATATACATACATACATACATATGTATGTACATTAAACATTTATAAATCACACCCAGAAGATAATTTAGGTAGGCCTTCTTAAGTGAAGCCATTCTAAGAGGCCTACCCCAGAAGGGCTGAAAAAGTGCTTCCTTGTATGCCTTCTAGAAGGGCTTGTTCATTTACAATTTACGCGAATGCATAAATAATGTAGTTATTTAGCACTGAAAATGGGGTTCAATAAAGCTTTTAAGTTGCTATAACACATATTTGATATAAACCTTACGCAAATAATTAAAAAAAATTGGATTTTTATAAATTAAAGAAGCAAATTTAAAGGAAAACCAAAAGGTCTTCTGAATTACGTCCTATAAAAGCCCTTCTGGAAGGCCTTCTATGGGTAGCAAAAGAGGAAGGCCTTCAATTTGTGCCACTCCATACAAAAAAGAAAGGAGAAAGGAATGTAGAGTGGAAGGCTTCTTGACTCTCAGGCAGGCCTTTCGGAAGGACTTTTAACTCCTGAAATTATCTGCTGGGAATCGTCTAACGATAGTATAAAATATCTAAATTATAATTTATGAACCACCTGTGTAAAATAAAAGCAATAAAATAAATCAAAAAAAATCTATAAATACTGGAGCAAATAAATGCACATACCGGCAAAATCAATATACTATATGTATATGTATTTAGTCAGTGCAAACATATGTACATGCTTATACTCAGTATATTTTCGTTTTGTGCTAACGCTTAAATTAGCAAAATGTTTTGAGTTTTATTATTTTTTCTACGCTCACACATAAATATACATCGGTGCGGTTACGATATAAGAAATTAAGAAATCAGTTATCATTTTGTTATCAACACAAAATTTATGACAGAATCCAATGAGTGGCGGAAGGCTTATTGTTATCGGCATTTCCATGCAGTCTCCCACTGATACGCCACTACAGTAGCAAACCGAAAGAAACTTATACACATTTTTCTTATACATCCGTCGACGTTTTCAATAAAGGAAACAAATTTCGTTTAATTAAATGTGCCAGACCACCTTATTAATTTAGGTGACGCTGGAGAGCATGAAAAATATGTTTTACTTGGCTTTTATGGCTTTTATTGGGCTTTTGCGGTTAGCCGCAATGGAAAATAATACCCACCAAACTTCACTCATACCTTAAGTATGCAGAAAACAGACATTTTTATGGTAACAAAAATTCTAAAAGTACAAGTAAAAAATTAATTTTATATGTACATATATAAAAACGATTTTTCAATAGTCCTTATACTCATACCAGTACTAATACGTAAAAGCGATTTGAAAGTCCTTTTAGTTAAAAGCATATTTATTAGACGGGTAAATATATTAACACGCACTTTAATTGTGGGAACAACCATAAGGTGAACGCGGGACAATCACAACAATTTACTCAACTGTTTAAATTTACGAAGGAGTACCCACAAGATATCCAAGAACCAACGTAATTATCTGGCCAATTAGTTAGTCTTAGGCAGCTGCTGTAGTTGTGTGATTAGAAGTGCGTAATACAACTCCGGTGGGACTTGCGTTCCAATCCTGAGTCTAGCAATATCTAAAATTAGGAAAAAGTATTTTCTTAAAGCGGCCGACTCCTAGGTTGGCAATTGCAAACCTCCGAGTGTATTTTTGTCCTGAAAAAATTTCTCATAAAACCATTTCTTCTGTTGGAGGTCCCTGTCATAACATCTTGTCAGACACTAAAAATTGGAGGGAAAGTTGGGCCAACGTAGCAAAACTGTTAAGGCCAATTAATTTTTGAATTTTTTTTAATTAGTGTTTTTGTAATTTACACACCTATACATTATGTATATATATGTATACGTTAGGGCGATTTTTTTGCGGCTATTGTTGTTTTTTCTCTCTTACCTCAAAATTTTGTGGAAAATACCTAAGAAAGAGGTCCCGGAAAATTTAAACCCTTAACATTAACAATAAGTACTTTCCCATATAAAATACACGTAAACTTTTAGTTTTTTTCTTAAAAAGTCTACAGCTCAGAGGAATTTTATGGTATAGTCTCGGTCAATCATGGGGTTTCTTCCAAATTGAATGCTGTACAAAAGTGTACATAACGGTTTAATCTTAACTCCCATCACCGAGGCAGCACGGGTCACTAAACCCAATTTTTAAATGAAATTCTCGTTTTTTGCCCCTATCTCGAAAATAACAAGAGCTACAGAAAAAATATAAATGGCAAACTTGTAGGACTTTCAATTTCCTACTTAATGTTAATAATACCTAATGTTAATATTAAGGGTTCAAATTTTCAGGGAGCTTTTTGTTAGGTGTTTTCCAAAAAATTTTGAAGTAGGAGTGAACAAAAAACAATAGTCACAAAAAATAACCCTAGTATAAATACATAAGCCTTTGTAACAAATATGAAATTGTTTCTTAATGCATTTGAAAAATACATTTCTTTAGAAATTTTTTGCTGACTCAGCAAAATATATTAGCAGTTAGATGCCAGGATAACATTTCATTGCTTATTTATATTGAAAATGTTGTGTACATTTGGCCAAAGGGCACCCAAAAGTGTATGTTCATGCATTTATATGATTATTATGTATGTATGTAGATTCGAATGATTTACTCACCGTCTGCTATGGTCCAGCGTATTTCACTTGTTATCGGATCGATAGCTGTTAATCCGCCCCCTAATGTCGAGAACACCATTAATGTTTCTTCATCTCGTGCCAAATCAGTGCATGCCTATGGAATGATACAGATTACATACAATTATTTATCGTACCGGCTAAAATATGTAGGCAGCGCCACCATGCCACTTCATCAATTTATTGTTGACACACATGTACATATGTTTTGCTTTTTGTTACACCCACCTCCCTCAGGCGAAACACTCGCATTTGTTCGGTTGCAACACCCTCCCTTGCATCGGTATTATTCCCATTTTCCTTTGACAAATTTTGTGCATTTTCAACAGTTGTTTTAATTTTTGCTGAGCCTGGCGTGACTGTTGCCGTAGTCAAAGTGGCTGATGCAATCAAAATACACAATCCGAAACAAATAGCAACGTTCCATTGCAAAAGCAAAATCGACATCGACGTCCACGATCGCGACACCACCGACCACCGAAAAAACATTTTCCTTCTCAACATGTCCACTATTTTTCACTCAGTTTATAAGCTATATCAGTCATCACTTTTTTCATAATTTGCATAAGAATTATCAACACTTTATGTGCGAGTTAAACACCTTTTTTGTTTTTAAACACTTTATGCACTTATTTCAATTATTAATATTAACAAATTGGAGTACTCCGCATCCAGAAAAATTTGCCATTGTTGAAGTTATCAAATGAACTGGATGGGAAGACGCGAACTGGAAAGAATCACGAATCGGCAGGGTTGCAAACTTTTGGTACTAGGGTTTGGATTTTAAGTGTTGTGGTCTATCAGGTAACGCTGATTTCCCGTACTGCCAAAGCAGGTTAATTTAAGTTCTTTGGTGCAGTGTTATGGCCGCAAAAAGTTATCGGTCCATATTTTTTCGAGAATGAGAAGGAAACGCCAGAAACGATTTCTGGGGCTTCTTACAGAACAATGATTGGCAACTTTTTGCGGCCAACGGCAGAAGAGCATCGTAATTTGTGGTTGAAACAAGGTGGAGCACAAAACTGCGCACAGTGCTAAGCAAACTATGGACCTGCTGCGTGAAATTGGTAGGTCTTATTTGGCCCACCCTCTATTAATTGGAATTTACGAATTCATTAAAGGAACTTACTTGGGCATGATTCCATGAAAGTAAGTACTTATGTATTTATCGTTCGCTCAAAAAATGAAAGGGTTAAAAATTAGTAAAGAAACATCGACACACATCGCGATGTTTGAAGCCACGACCATCGATGTTGCTCGATACATCGATGTTTTTTTACATGCCTAATTTACCGGCGGCACTGCACTACTTGTGCATTTGTTTTGCAAATTTGCAGCAAGTTGGTTGGGTTTCTTTGTTAAAATATAAATATTTTCAGCTGAAAGGTTTGTTATCTAATCATATCGCATATTTTAGCGTTATTTCATTAAAGATCTATTTAACTGCAGCATACAACACATACTCCCTATTCACTTTCTGCTTATTTGTTTTCATTTTTGGGTACCATCAGACATGAAATCTGCAACTCATGTTGCCCTCTTCGCCATTTTGGCGACGTTAGCACTATTTGTAACAGCCGATGCAAAGAAGTCTCGCAAATTGAAGTATGCAAGAAGTTTTATCAATCCATATCCACGCTTTGAAGAATATAACGATGGTGGCGATCCTGGCGAACCACTATTCCTTACGCCTCTTATCAATGACGATAAGATACCAAAAGAACAGGTACGACAAAAAGCTCTCGTACTTGGCAGTCAGTTCCATAAGGTAGAGAGCTATGCTGGGTATTTAACGGTTGATGCAGCTCGCAAGTCGAATATGTTCTTCTGGTATTTCCCCGCTGAGCAGGATCCCTCCTATGCGCCAGTAGTTTTATGGTTACAAGGTGGGCCGGGCGCGTCTTCGTTGTTTGGTTTGTTTGCAGAAAATGGGCCATTTGAGTTTGACTCCCACGGTCATTTGCAAAAGCGCAATTACACATGGAGTAGCACACACAATCTTATATACATTGACAACCCAGTTGGTACGGGTTTCAGCTTCACCGGAAGCGATGATGGCTACGCACGAAATGAAAAAGATGTCGGACGCAATCTTCATGAGGCAGTAATGCAATTATACGAACTCTTTGAATGGAGAAATTCGACCGGTTTCTGGATAACCGGTGAATCCTATGCCGGTAAATACGTACCAGCTTTGGCGTATCACATTCATTTGGCACAAAATGCCATTGATACACGTGTGTACATTCCGCTTAAAGGTTTAGCTATAGGCAATGGACTTTCTGATCCTTTACATCAGCTCAAATATGGTGATTACTTATATCAATTGGGCTTAATCGACGATCATGGCTTGAAAGAGTTCCATATTCAAGAAGAGAAGGGCAAAAAATGCATTGAACAGCATGATATGGAATGCGCATTTGAAGTATTCGACGGTCTTGTCAATGGCGATCTTACAAATGGGTCAATTTTTCACAACCTTACTGGTTATAATTTCTATTACAACTATTTGAAGACCGATAGTGACGAACCATCTGAAGTACTTGGCAATTTTATTCAATCGTCAGTAACTCGGCGGGCAATTCACGTCGGTAACATGACATTCCACGATCTAGACAAAGAGAATAAAGTGGAGAAGTTTTTGAAAAAGGATGTTATGGATACTGTAGCACCATGGATAGCGGAGCTTTTAAATGACTACATTGTTTGCATATATAGTGGTCAGTTAGATATAATTGTCGCCTATCCTTTGACACGCAACTACTTGAAGCATTTGAAGTTTGCAGATGCTGATAAATACAAAATAGCGGAGCGGCAAATTTGGCGGGTGGAAGGAGAAATAGCCGGATATGCCAAACATGCTGGTCGCTTAATTGAAATTTTGGTTCGCAACGCTGGGCATATGGCGCCTGGTGACCAACCAAAATGGTTGCAATGGATGATTCACCATTTGACTCACTACAAAAAAGTGGTATAAACATGTAGTCGAGTAACTGATAGTAGAGCAATCGCACCACTACTACTCACTTTTCTCAAATACCTACATACATATTTTTTATAAATAATAATAGAACTTTACTGATTGTACGAACTTAATACAACCAAAGAATTCAAGTTGTTATTAAAGATGAATTAAATAAAGGAAGTTTACCTATATATGTATATATGTAAACGGAACGAACCTTTTATTTGATTTAATAAAATGATATGGCCACAATACTTATACCCTTTACCTCTTAGTGGTTTTAGCATTTAATGTCTGCGCATTCATCTTTTATCCAGCGTCTTCTCCAGTCCCTTAAAACGACGGGCCACCAGAAAAAATTCCGCGGAGTCCGATCGACTGGATTCGGGTTTAACACGTTTAACATGCTCATAAAATCGTTCCAAATCTTTTTCGAGTTTAGGCACATCACCATTCGCCCATAGTTTAACGACCAAATGCGCTTCTGGCGCAGACATCGCTAGAGCGAATCGAAGTACAGCATAACACAAACCCATTATATTCTCTTGATCCAACATTTTCACGCCCGTTGCATTTGGCGCCATATCAGAGAGAACACAATTTACCGGCCGGCTTGCCAAAGCCTCTCGCAAACGCTGTTGAGCTACAGGGGTTGTAAAATCCATGCCACCGAATACAGTAGCGCCCTGCATGTGTATGCAAATAAGAATATTGGCTGGTGTTATAGCAACTTACTGACATCACTTACCGGTATAGCGTGAAAGTGTAACAAGTCAATGCTGAAGACAGCACCCTTCTTATGTCCTGCTTTAGCGCCATTCGCATTTGTGCGATCAACCGCTACTTGCGTCCAACTACCTGGAGCTGCCCCGCAATCCAGCACAGTATCGCCGGGTCTCAGTATCTTGAACCTATCGTCGATTTCCAATAATTTGAAGGCACTTCGGCAACGGAGATTCATCATTTTTGCTTTCTCCACATAAGGATCGGCCAGTTGTCGTGTAAGCCATTCTTGTGAACTTTTGCTCTTACCTTTAAGATTACGAGGTATTTGTTTTGCAAGACCAGCATGTGTGTGAATAAAATGTTTAAGTAGCATGGCGCAGTTAGGACAATGAAGATGTTTGACTGAGTGATAACAAAAACAGCTGGTTTTGTTTATTTTCTGTTAGAACGGTGGAACGCGGGAGATTGGAACATAGGGAACGATGGAGTGAAATACACAAGGCTTAGCAATAAATAAGCATATACTACACCCTGTTTTGTTTTATCAAATAACCGCCAATTGTAGAAAAAATAGTCGAAATTTGAGCTGTTGTACCGTGATTAATTATTTTTTATTGTGTTATTTGTATTCAAGTCGAAAGTGTTTCACGAAGTTTTGAGTAAACAGCTGTAGGCGGACCACTTAGTTTTCAATCATGATGTAATAATAACATGGTTTTCAATAATCTTGAATTTAAAATTGAATGATGGTAACTCAATTCTGCGGAAGCGCCAGCTAAATGGCTAATGTATTATATGGAGCTGGAATTCTGTACCTGTTTTACCATCACGATGACCAGGTAAGCTAGTTTTTAAGAAATCAAGGAAACACACCCATTGCAAACTAGATTTTAAGGTGGCCGCATTGTTCCTTGGGATCCCCGTTGAACAATGAATTTCTATCAACTATCGTGCGTGGTTCCAGTCGACTATCACTTATCTACTTATGTGATGTACAAATGTAGTAAAGTCTCAAAAAAACAACAAATCTTCAGTGTATAAAGGGTGTGTAACTAATCACCTCATCAAACTTCATATCCAGTTAACCGTGGGGAAAAATTACCGTGTTTCCACGGTGAAAATTTACTGTGGATCCACGGCAATTTCTGAAGATGTTTGCTTGCCGAAAAAGATGTTGGTGTTGATTTCCGAAGTGCGCGAAGAACCACCTTTTTAATTTAGATGTACGGTAAAAGATGGGATGACTTCCAAAACGTATCAATACAATGTTTGGATACTGTTATACTGCGGCATTCAAACTCTTTTTATGCAAAGTTGCGAAACATTGCAACCACATACATTGCATGTTTTAAATATGCAATATAACAATGAAAAATTTTTCAGAATATTCATTTTTAAAACACCAATAGTAACCAAAAACAAACGAAGCATCAACTTTGTTTCTGAAGCGCTGATTTCTCTAGCGATGCGTTTCGATAACTTTTCGGATGCGTTTTGGAAAAGTATACATT